CAATGTTCCAGCACAATTTGAACAACCAAACATAAAGTTTGTATATAACAATTTTGTATATTTCAGTGTTGTCTGCCTTTTTAAGACTCAGGGAAACGAAACAAATGTGAAAATTCTATCTGTATGAATAATTACTAGAGTAATGCTTTTTTTCAAATATGCTCCAAACCAGCGAGTTTTCAAGCTCTGTGCTTCCTCAATGGATCCCTTATTTTCCTTGCTGCTGCTTTGTTTAAGCTGATGGTTAAATATGTTTTTAAATTGTAGCTAGATAGACACGTCTGTTTAATATTATTTGCTAGTACAGCCATACCATGCAAAAGTGTATAAAATACTGTAGAATGTTAGTATAAGATTAATTCTTGATACAAATGTACAATTTATGCTTATTTTGATATTGATTATTATAATTACTAGCTATGCGCCTTATACCCATAAGATTTAACTAAATTTGCTGATAGTTTTGGGGGGAATCTCGTAGCCTTAAGGTTAAGGTGTTGACCTCTCTTTCAAAAGTCCTGGTTCAAAGGTCTCGGGTTCGAATTCGGGTAGCGACCGAAAATTTTTCTTCTCTAAAATTAACTCCTTTCACCTCCGTTCCTGCTCTCTAGCAATGTTCTGTCGTCTGCTTTCGTCTCCACTTTCTGCTCCCACCCCCTCACCTCCTTTCCCCCCTCCTCCTGGCTCCTGGCTTTCTGCAGCCTATCTATTACTACCTCTTGGCTCCTTACTGCTGTCTTTCAGCCACACTCTGATATTCGTGTAGGAAAGATCTACACCTAGCCTTCTTTGACAAAGGTGAAAAATCTCCGAGGTCCCGTGTACAAGTTGATCACGTTAAAGATCCCTTGGTGGTCTAAAATCGATGAGTAGGCTTCGGCCTCCACCCGGGCTCCTTATATGCGCTCATATGGCCTTATGAAGTTGCGAGCGCCGTAAAACACATACAACAAAGCGACCAAAAACAGATAGTTTTTATTTGTTCTGCTTGGTTTTATTTTCCCTTTAAGTGATTTTTTTAAATCTTAAAAACCACAGTATATTTCCTCTAATTCGTCTAATACGGACTCCGCCCTAACACCCCTGAAATGTACTCAAGGTTGATCTACTGTCATTGTCCATGTTGATACTATACTGGTAGGTCATCGTTTTTCTACTTGATCAACAGCTTGAAAGCTCTGGTTTCGATTAGATACTTTTGGGCTCATTAAGGGGGCTGACTGGCAATTCCCTCAGTTTACGTCTCCAAAATAGCAAGTACATTGTGAAGCCACTTCTCTGAAACAACGCCCTAACGAGATACGTGCGTAACACACACTTAGTAACAATGAATACAAGAAAGTAAATCAACTTGATAAAATACTAAATAATAATGTTTTGAACAATATAGTGATTAATACATTGACACAATAATTATACTAACGTTTCAATAGTTTGATATTAATTTTTAAGTTTAAGTTAACTTTTTACATGGAGGAAAATTAAATGAACAAACGAGCAAACCTGCACTTTTATTTTCTCAACCCACAACTTTAGTAGAACTTGTATTTACGAGTAGCAATCTCGCAAAAAAGAAATGTATAGTAAAGCCCACATTGTACATGTTCTGGCAACGAATAAACACGGAACCCATGGCGATGTGCCTGTTTAAAAAATGTGAATATATCATTGAGTTCGTTTTTGCTGGTGTTGTAGTAGTGTAGTTGTAGTAGTGTAGTTGTAGTAGTGTAGTTGTTGTTTGTTCTTTTGTCCTCCTCTTCCTGCTCTCTATTCTCTTTCTCATCCTCCTCTTCATTTTTCTTCTCTTCCTCTGAATCTTCCTTTCCCTTGTCTTTCCCTCCTCGTCAATATCATCGTCATCGTTGTGTTGGCTGTGGATTCGATCCGACTCGCTGTATCCTCCTCTTCCTCCTCCTTCTCTTCCTCCTCCTCTCTTCTTCTTTCTCGTCATCATAATCCTAAATATCATTATCATCATTATCACCATCATCGTCGCCGTTGTCGTCGTCGTCGTCGTCATCACAATCAAGCTTCTGACTCCCTTCTTGACTTTTCTTTAACGCTGTCTTTATAATTGTATGCTTCCCGGGAAGCTGAAAATGTTTCGGAGTGTTCTATGGTCTGCTGGGGAAATAATATAGTGTAAAGCGCATAGAGCCTGCTGCTGAGCGGGAATATGCGCTATACAAATGCTATCTATTATTATTATTATTTTTTATTGCTTGATTTCACTTCTTATGCTTTGTGTATTTTTCAATATCGAAGTTCTGAGGGATAAATTAATGTTGCCTTGTTAGGGTATTCAACAGGTTATTGTTATCAAATGATGAGCCAAGCAAAAAAAAAAAAAAAAAAAAGAGTTGGAAAACAAAAACAAAAACAACATTAAAACAAGCAGGACATAGATCGGTATCACTTGAACGCCTTTTGATGTTTTTGCCTTTCATGTGACCCTTTCTCTTTCCTGAGGAAAAAAGAATTGTCCCTTTCTTGGTTTTTT